GCTTCTCCCTCTCATTCCCCCTTTGTGCTCTCTGTCAAATAAATAAATAAAATCTTAAAAAAAAAAAAAAAGAAAAACTCATACAGTACTTACAAAAAAAAATTCCAACCCTCTGATTTGGTAATCCTGGTCCTAAAAACTCGTTCTAAGAGAGGGCTCAATTAAATTCACGAAGATATTTGCTATAGGTAAATCTATAATATCAAAATCTAGAAATACTCTAAATACCCAACATTGAGAGAATTTAATAAACTACAATAGAAAAAGAAATATTAAATAGCATTGAAAATAACTAGGGTAACTTAGAAAAATAGAAGAATGTTTTGAAGAAAGTATGATACCAAAGGGAATATGAGTTTTTAATTCTAAATAAATAATTTACTTACATAGGTAAAAATGCATTAATACATAAAATGGAAAGTTCTATTGTGATACAGTGGTAGGATTACTGATGGGTTTTTGTTCTCTGAAATTATTTAATCCATTAATACTTTAAGGTTTTAAAAAACTTAGATGCTAAATGAAGATCATTTTGAATTGACAGGGTTGGGGGATTTCATAAGGAAAGGATTTCATGAAACAGAAATGTTAAAACGGGAACTCCATTCAGGGAGACCCTAAAGAAAATCAATATAGTGAAGAAAACAGGAGTTTTCAGTGGAAACAACTGGAAGCAATTATGTTACTCAGGTTGAAGTGGGGTCAAGGACATAAAATAAAAGGTCAGTGGAAGACAGATTCAGTATTGGGTAAATAATTCATGAAGTCCACAAAAGAATATAAGTTGAAAAATGACATGAAAGAAAATTTCTCTCACCAAAATATGAGAAAAGACAATGGCAACAGGATTTATCTGAGAAGCAGGTAGAATAAAAAGTAGAAAGGTCACGGTCATCAACCTGTGTGGTTTATGAGGAACAAGAAGAGACACACAGATTCAAGATATAACAGAAAAGGCTATGCAATCTATAGGGGAAAAAAGGGAAGGAATCAAATATGAAGCAGTCATCTAATAAACTTCCTTCTATGCACATAAAGCACATTTCAACTTATCACCATCATTTTATATTACCAGCACCAGACTTAAAACCACCAAATTAAAAATTATCTCTTTCAACACTAAAGTGCAGTATATGTGTATGTTACTTTCCATTAAACACAAAGAGAAAATATAATTATGTACATACGTGCTTACATATTTAAAAAACATAAAAACAAATAAAAACTAATTAAAGGGAAAAAAAAGGTTATTAAAAAATGTTCAATCCCATTTGAGCCCTGGGTGGCTCAATCAGTTAAGTGTTGGACTTTAGCTCAGGTCATGATTTCAGGGTCCTGAGATCAAGCCCCACTTAGGGGACAGTCTGTTTGTCCCTCTCCCTCTCTCTGCCTCTTTCCCCCACTCGTGTTTTCTCTCTCTCTCTCTCTCAAATAAATAAATCTTTTTAAAAAAATATTCAATCCCACATCTCCCGAAAACAATCAGATTTAAATCTGATCGAGCTTCTTGATTTAACTACCAGTTTTATGGAAGGAAATACATGGAACAGGAGCACTTGTTAAACCACTCCATGGGGATAAAAATCAGTAAAATCTAGACTATAGGAAACTCTCATGAAAAATGACAGATTTCTTCAACAAATAAACTGCAAAGGGGGAAAAAAAAGGAAGATAGACTTATAAAGTTTAAAAAGACATAACCATATCAATCAATGTATGGACTTTGGATCCCAATTAAAATTTTTTTTACGCATGATCAAAGAAACTTGGATAAGAACTAAATATTTTATTATATCAAGAAATTATTGTTAAAAATCCTAGGTGGTAGTGGCATTGTGAGTTGTGATCTTTTTTTCAGGGATACATACTGAAGTATTAATAGTTAAAATTATATAATGTCTGGGATCTGCTTCCAAACATTCCAGGTCAATGGTGTGTGGATGGAAATAGCATGTATAGATGAAATAAGACTGACCATATACTGCCCATCTCTGAAGCTGGGAATGGGCTCATGGGGGTTCATTCTAGTGGTCTCTCTACTTACATGTGATTGGAATTTTCCATAATAAAAAAAGTTTTTAAGTCATCCTTCAAACTTTTATTTATTTATTTTTTTAAAGATTTTATTCATTTATTTGAGAGAGAGAGAGCAAACCAAGAGAGCACAAGCAGGGGAAGCAGCAGAGGAGAGGGAGAAGGAAACTCCCCCCTGAGCAGGGAGCCTGATATGGGACTTGATCCCAGGACCCTGAGATCACAACCTGAGCCAAAGGCAGCCATTTAACTGAGCCACCGAGGCACTCCTAAATCATCCTTTAAACTTTCAGATGACCAACCCCAAATAACTACTCTCATTGGCAAAATTTTTAAAATTCCCATATTTGAAATATTAAGGGGTTCCTTTCCATCCCCTTGGCATAAACCAACCATAAGAACATACCCCCTACCTTTGGAACCATCTCTACACTTTTAAACATGGAATCACTTACCAAGTTGCTGCCATTAAGACTCTTCCCCCCTTTACCACCAGCTGCCCTTACAAGAATAACCAGAGACAGATACATCAACTCTGAAATAGCCTGTCTCTAGTCCCCGACAAAAGTAGACACTGAATGCCCTTGTCCCCCAGTTAGCCACACAGAAGCTGCTACAGAAGCCCTACAGTCAGAATGACAGCTCTGGTCTGTATATTACCACTTCCACTAATATTTACCTTTTTTAAAAGGAATTGCTTTAATTTTTTTGGCACTAGTAATAGCTAAATTAAATATCTCAAAGACTCAAAAGAATCATAGTTTCCCTGAGTATCTGCATTCATGAGTTTATTTTTATAGCTCTCATGTTCTATTGAATTCCAGTGAATTTCCAAGAAACCTCTGAGATATTCTGTTCAATTCCCCAATAACTACCTGGAGCTCAAAAAGATACAGAATACTATAAGAAGCAAAGGAGAAAACAGGGAAGTCTTAAGTTCCCAAGAGTTTCAGAGGATACCTAGAAAAAACAGTGTGAGAAACAGAAGAATGGAATATTCATTTTGCCTAATGATACTTCATTAGTAGTGGGATTCCCAGGTGACTCAGTCTATAAGTGTCTGCCTTTGGCTTAGGTCATGATCCCAGGGGGTGGTCTCCCTCTCCTTCTGCCCCTCCCTCTACTAGGGCACTCTCTCTCTCTCATTCTCTCTCAAATAAATAAATAAAATCTTTAAAAAAAAAAAAAGATATTTCATCAGTGGCCAAGAGAACCCCCCCTTTTATCTCAAGTAATAACATCTTCCTTTGGAAGAACAGTAATTCTTCTAATAGTTCAATATAACTTCAACAAACTGTGTGATGAGTACTGGAAGGAAAAAATAATTATCAGTGGATGATAGTTTTGATACAAGGATCACTCAGGTAAGGACAGAGGTGGCCGTCCCTTCTCCCACCTTCAAATTTTAAAATGATGAATTTGGATCATGTTTGTAACTAACATTTTCAACAAACTTTCTGTATAAAAATTATTACAGTTTACTGCTATGCAAATAGAAAAGTTGGAATTTTTTTTAATTACTTAAAATAACAAATAAAAGAAAATTTCAAGACTACTATTTTCTGTCCTTGATTGAGACATTAAATAGGTATAAGAGCCAGGAAATAATGACAGCTGCTTTCACATCCTAGCACTGGAGCTATAAAGTAAAGGAATACTGATGGCGTCGCATCTATATAGCTTCTTCCTTGCCTACGCAGCTGCAGAGAACACACTAAACATTACTAAAACAATGATGAAAAATACTTCTGTTTTCCTATGCTAGTGCTTGCATTCACTACTAGTTCATAAACTAGGACACTTTTAAGTCCCACCCTATCTTTAGCTATGTATTGTTCAAGTAAAATTCAATGAAAACTAAAACTAAGTTGTATTCCATATTGTCTCTATGCTCCCTTTGATAGACCACAACCATGAGTGTGATTTCTGTACAGTACATGCTTCTCTCCCATCCCCATCTTAAGACTCACTAGCACTAAGAAAAAGATTTCTGAAAGTATGCTATCTGGCTTTCATAGGGAGGAAGACAAAGATATGGAAGAGAGCTAAACTTATTTAGGCTAATATGGAACTAAGATTTCCACATTTCCTTTCCTCTGGAATTACTAAGAAGCAATTGTTCTTCAGTTCAGCCTTAGCTCCTCTTAATATCTCCCATCATCCACCATACAGAAAAACTTAGGAAGACTGAAGAAAGGGTGAATGACATGTCCTTGAACTCATCCTCTTCCTCCTGCTTCTTATCATTGGGTTACTTACTCTGAAAACGTTGTATACTTAATGTTTCCCCTAAGAATCTTTTTTAAAAAAAATTTTTTTTTTTAATTTGGCAGACAGAGATCACAAGTAGGCAGAGCGGCAGGCAGAGAGAGAGGGAGGGGGAAGCAGGCTCCTCGCTGAGCAGAGAGCCTGATGTGGGGCTCAATCCCAGGACCCTGAGATCATGACCTGAGCAGAAGGCAGAGGCTTTAACCCACTGAGCCACCCAGGCACCCCTGCCTAAGAATCTTGAGTAAGACTGACTCAAAGAACTGTATGGGTCCACTCATACACAGATTTATTCAATAAATACAGTACAGTATGAGAAATGTATTTTCTCTTCCTTATGATTTTAATAACATTTTCCTTTCTCTAGCTTACCTGACTATAAGAATACAGTATTTGATGGCTACAACATATGAAATATATTGATTGTTAATCAGTAAGGGTTCTGGTCAAAGTAGGCTATTAGTAGTTAAATTCTGGGGGAGTCAAAGTTATATGTGGATTTTCAACTGTGCCAGGGGTCAGTGTTCTAACCCCTGTGTTGCTCAAAAGTCCATTGTAATTTCAAGTTCCTCATTTAAGAATTGCTGATATAAAAAGCAGGGATCCTCATACCCAAAGCAGAAAAATATACCCAGCTGGTTGTCTTCAAAATCCCCATACACCACAGGTACAGAATTACACGGCAGGTCACCACTCACCTTGTGCTACTGTTGACATGACCACGGATGGTGTGGAAGATACCACAGCTGTCACTGCAACTGTGTTAGGAATAGGTGATGGTGTAGAACTGCTGCTGCCACTGCTGCTACTACTGACCAGGGAGGATTGTGAAGCAGTTATAACCACTGGTGGCTTCTGGGTTGTGGAAGCAATGACTGATGTTGGTACAAGCTTAGTGACTGCTGCATAGTTATGGGATTTGGAGAGAATGTTGGGCACGAAGGTTGAACTTGGTGATGTGGTCACTATAATAACCTAAGGAAGGAAAAATAAGTTATTTTTATGAACCCACTATACTACTAACGTATCTAGACTCATAGTTACATGTAATCCAAAAATAGCTTATGAAATATGAAGAAACAATTCACCAAAGAAAAATACACAACTAAAAATATGTGTAAGCTTTCCTCTACTAGTAACCATCAAAATATGTTTAAAAGAAACAATTTTTACCAACCAAGTATTTTTAAAAATAATGTTCAATGCTGTATAAGATACTGTGAAATAAGCATTTCAATATACTGCTTAGGGAGTATAATATGTACAATCTTTCTAGAAAGTAATTTGGATAATCATTCATTTATAAATATTTGTTGAGCATCTACTATGTGCCAGGCATGGTTCTAGATGCTGGGGATAGTGAAATGAACAAAGCAGACAAAGTTCATACTTTCATGGAGCTAAATTCTTATAGGCGGGGAAGAAAACAATAAACAAATTAGAAAATATATGTCACATATATGTCATATAGAGATAAATGGAACAGACACTAAGTAGGGTAGGAAATAAAGAATACTGAGAGTACTGTATTATTGTTTATACAGGAGTCCATGAAAATCTTTCTGATAAGGTAACATTTGAGCAGAAGCTAGAAGCAGGGGTGTGAACCATGTTGCCACCTTGAAGAAGTGCTCCAATGGCATAGAAAACAGCAAATAAAAAGGCCCTGAGGCAGAGGCAAGCTTGGTATCTTCAATAAACTTCAAGGACTTAATGAATGGGACCGGAATTTAGGACACAGAGAGTAGTAGGAGACAGAATCAGGGATGTAATGGGAGACCAGATGATATAAAATAATGTTGATGCTATATACCCTTGATATGATAAATGAAAATGGCACTTTATCAAAACCCCCAAGCCCTAGTCTAATGATGAGAAAACATCAGACAAATTCCAATAGTGGAGCCTCCTACAAAATATCTGACCAGTATTCTTTAAAATACTGGTCAAACGAAGTCTTGAGAAGCTGTCACAGACAAGCGAAGTCTTGAGAAACTTTCACAGCCGAGAGGAACCTAAGAAGACATGACATGTAAATGTAATGTGGTATCCTGTAAGAGAGAAATCTGAACAAACCATGGACTTTGGTTAATCTTAATGCATCAATACTAGTTCATTAATTACAATAAAGTACCACAGTAATATAAAATGTTAAGAACAGTGGAAACTGAGTATAGGGTATATGAAAACTCTCTGCACTATCTCCTCAATTTTTCTGTAAATCTAAAACTATTCCAAAAAATATTTTTAAAAAAGCATTATTGTCTGCTAGATGAAGAGTACAGTAGGGCAGAGGTAGTAGAAAGAGGGAGACAATTAGGATGCTCCTGGAATAAAGCAAGCAGAGATGATTATGACCAAAGTGTTTATAGCAGAAGTGATGAAAAGTAAACAGATTATGAATATACTTAAAGATAAAATGAAGAGGATTTGCTCATAGCTTGATACAGGGAATGGAGGGGAAAAGAGAAGCAGGAAAGAGACTTCAAAGTTAGCCTGAGTGGCTAGAAAAGTGTAGAAGACATAGGGAGGCAAAGGATTTCAGATGAAAAAAAACACAACAGAGCAAAGGACCTATAGCATGATGTATTTAAAAACAAAGAAAGTCAGTGTAGCAAAAACTATATAGAGTAAGGAGAGGTTGGCAAAGTAAGGAGAGGCCAGGTTATACTTATAAGCTGGAGTAAAGGATTTAAATTTTACACTAAGTACAACAGGAAGCCATAGGGGGATTTTTAAGTGATGAAACAACAAAATTTGATTTATATTTTAAAAGATGATTCTAGCTGCTATGTGGTGAGTGCCAAAAATGGAAGCAGTGAGACTAGTAAATATACTGCTGCAGTAGAGCAGGCACGAAATGATAGAGGCTGCTTGGACTAGGGTATTAATAGTGGAAATAAAGAGAAGTGATCACATGTAGATTCTTTTAAGAGGTAGAGTCAATAAGACTTGTTGATGTAGAGAAACTGTAGGCCTAAGGAAAATAACATAATAAAGATGAACTCCTAGAGCTAATGTGCATTAGCTAAATTTCAATCTCCCCAAAATTCTGTAACACAGACACTATTATTATCCCCATTTTACAGCTGAGAACACAAAAATCATTTACAAAACTATAGTATCACAGTTTTATTCTGGGTGGGCATAATGGTGGTATGGTGATACCCAAAACAGAGCAGAGTTTCTTTTTCTTCTTTCACCAAAATTCCCTTTACCTATCTAGGGCAGAAAACGGTTTTGAAAAATCCAAAGAAATTAAGGGAGAAATTCTCTTTCATTTTCACATTAGTCCTAAAGAAGGCCTGATATTACATCAGTTGTTCAAAATTTACTGAGTATGTCTGCACTCAATACTGACAACTCAAAGATGACTATATCATCACTATTTTAACTATATCATCATTATTATACATTTGAAGTGTCATGGAGAATTATAAGACATAACTACTTTAAGCAGTTTGTTAATTATTTGATGAGTTTAGACAGATATCTAAGTCTTGACCAGCAAACATCTATATAGAGTTGACCAGCATACTTCTAGATAGACTCGGTCAGCAAATATCTATATAGCATTATTACAAAAACAATCAAACGCTATCATATAAACTGAGAAGAAATAGACCAAAATGGTAAAAAGACTAGAAGTTTAAGAGTCAAATGAACCTGAGCTTAATTCTGCTTCGGCCACTGACAAATGGCAGGCTCCCAGACAGGTTAAAAATCTCTGGACTCCTATTTTCATCTATAAAATAGGGATAATAATACCTACCTTGCAAATCATTACAAGGACTGAATGAGATAATGATGTGAAGCATCTAACATAGTGCTAGGCACATAGCAGGTGGTCAATATTTGGCAGTCAACAAACAGTAGTTATTAGATTACTACTACTCTTCGGTAAAGGTGTTATGGATCAATTCAATCTGGAGATATATTTTATGTATTCTTTTTTTGTTCCACTAAAAAATGTTATATATCTTATATATATATACATATAAAATGTTATATATATTTTCCCCAAATTCTGATACCCCTGAGAATCCAAAGAACTCATAGCTACTACCACAGTCAAACCAATTATAGTGGTAATGGTAATTAAGTTTCACATCTTCACATTTGCCAACTCTGAACTCATAGTAGTAGCTTCCTGGAGCAGCGTTTATAAGGACTCTGTGACACAGGTAAGGATTCACCAAGGCTTGGCAGGAAAGTATGCCACAGTCAATTAACAATGTCTGTCATGGGCAAGGAAGGGGAAGCATTCACACTTGTGTCAAATAATTCCAGTGTTTAAAAACTAGAGTATCCATGTAGGCTTCTAACATTAAGACAAAATTTCAGCAAAATAAATCTAGAAGTCCTTAAGAGCATTTTTTAGGCTATAGATACGAATGATAAAATATATTTTAAGATTTCAGTCTGCATGTTGATTTCTGATCTGAAAAGCGGTTATCCAAAATTAGAGATCCACCTTAAAGAAAATGCACTTGTACTTCAAAGTTATGAATTACAACAGGGGAAATAAAGGGATTTTGAAACCAAGTGAACCAAACAGTGTTTATTCAGGCCATAATTCAAATTACTGACCTTCTAGCACTCACAAAAACTCCTTAAGAGTGCTGGGACTTGCACCCTAAGGATAAAATGAAAAATATCAATCAAGCACATGAAAGCATAAAGCTATATTTTGTTGCTTTTTTCATATAAGTGCTGTACCAATGTTATACTTAAAATGAAGGCACCGTATTAACATAGGTGGAAATTTGTCTACCCTGAAAATATATGACCTATTTGAATTTGAATCAAGTCCACAAATTCATAAGTAATTATACTTAATGTAAAGTCACTTTACCTAAAATAATTCCTAAGTTGACTTACATAGGATTTGTGAGAAATCAAAGGTGAATGCAGTAATGAAAACAGCCTCAGAGATTTCAAGAAAGTCCAATTACCCAGCAGAAGGAAAACAAAAAACAAACAAAAATCCCAAAGATCTATTAGTGCTACCATACTCAGCCTGTCCAAGACGTAACAAAACCAATGGCACTGGGTACACATGAAATCAGAGTATAGTTTTGCCTCTGGAACATAGTAGATACTCAGTAAATATTTGTGGAATGAATGAGTCTTATTTTTAATTTAATTTGTTTTAAATGTTTACTTTTTAAGTACAGTAGGACAAATCTAAGGTTTTGAGCTTGGAATCTCCTGGTAGGGTTCATATAACCGTGGAGATAAATATGCTTATAAGCATCATATGTCGACAACCTCGACTACCCATTCTCAATTGGCAATTCCGAAGAAAAAGCAAAAATAAAGATATGATAAAGTCATCGAATCAAAACAAAACAAAAAACGCCAACTTCACTTACAGGTGAACCTTCCATCTTTTACAAGTATTTTTATCTATGTCTATCTTCCAAAGAAGATTTGAAAGTTAAAAATGTTAAGGTGACATTTACTAAGCATTCATCATATGTGCTATGTTAAGTACTCTCCATGAATCATCTCATGTAATTTTCCTGATAACTCTACGAAGTAAGTACTATGATCTTTGTTTTATACAGAAACTGAGGCTCAAGAAAGCTGGCAGAATCAGAACTAGGAATCAGATCTATTTATTCATTTTTTCATTCATTCATTCAACAAACATTAATAAACACCTTCTATGAGCTATTCTAAATACTAGGAAATACAGTGATGAATAAGATAAAGTTTCTACCCTCAGCAACATATGAGAAACAGGAAATGAATAAAAATATAATATGATACTAACTGGTTATAAGTATAATAAATAAAAAATAAAACGAGTAAGGAAACAAAAAGACATGATGGGAGATGGGTGCTCTTTCAGATATAACTCTGCTACACTGGGATGCCTGGGTGGCTCAGTTGGTTAAGCGTCTGTCTTCGGCTCAGGTCATGATCCTAGGGTCCTGGGATCCAGTCCTGCATCAGGCTCCCTGCTCAGTGGGGAGCCTGCTTCTCCCTCTACCTGCTGCTCTGCCTACCTGTGCTCTATCTCTCTGTCATAAATTAAAAAATCTTTAAAAAAAAAAAACAAACTTTGCTACACTATTTCTTAAATACCAAATTAAAAGAGCAGTTAAGAAGGGGGAAGACAGAGGCGCCTGGGTGGCTCAGTGGGTTAAAGCCTCTGCCTTCGGCTCAGGTCATGATCCCAGGGTCCTGGGATTGAGCCCCACGTCGTCGGGCTCTCTGCTCGGCAGGGAGCCTGCTTCCCTTCCTGCCTCTCTGCCTACTTCTGACCTCTGTCTGTCAAATAAATAAATAAAATCTTTAAAAAAAAAAAAAGGGGGGGGGAACATAGAAGAATTACAGACAAGTTAAGTCCCAGCAAAAAAAAGGGGGGGGGCAGTAAAAAATTACAGTAAGCAGACTTATAAACTCATAGAGGAGACTGATAACACTTAATATAGGGTTAGTCCAGAAAGCATTAACTGTATTATATTACATGAAAAGTGACATTCAGAAGGATTACCTTGGAGTCATCAAAAACAAATGCAAAAACCATGTTCAGTTTAACATTTAAAAAGTTATCAAAAATAGTCAATTTCTACATATTAAGGGGTAAGCTTCAGTTAATTGATGAATTCATTTGGAAGAGCTCATTCTCAATGGTGCAAATAAATAAAACACTGCCTTACATAAAATACTGGCAAGGAAAAAGAGCTAACATTTTTTTGAGTATATAGCTATTTTGTACTTTAAAATATCCAATCTCATTTAATCCTCACAGTAACTTTTTAAGATTGGCATTATTCTCATCTCACTAATGGGAAAACAGATTCAGAAAGACCTAATTTATCTCAAGTCATACTAGAAGAGCTGGGGTTCCAACTCAGGCCTCTCTGACTACAAAAATTCTTGATTTTAACACTGTACCATAATGCCTCATCCTGAAACTGAAAACAGAATTATATTCCACAGATCAGCTCATTATTGCTTACAGTTTACTAAGAAAATAATTTCTCATGTATTATGTAATGATATCTTTCCAGGAAACTCAAGGAGGTTCTTTAAATGAAAGTTATTGTGTGTCTGAGGGTTCAAAGATAGGAAAGATCATCTGCGGAAGATAAGACTGTACCTCTCCCTTCCTTCCCCCAAATCCCTCTAAAATGATATGAAGGGATTTTTTTTTAAAGGGGAAGAGGCATGTAAACCCCTAAGGTCAAAATGGAAAGAAGATAACAGCTGTGAAGTTTTGTAAAGTAGACAACAGATAAGTAGTAATCAATCACGCATAACCTCAAAGTGGAAACAGAGAACCCCAGAAAGACTCAGGACTTGAGAGCAGAAGATATGTCTTAAGTGGGAGTAAAAGTAGCACTAGAGAGAGGAAAATTAGTTGAAAATCTACTTAAGCAGCATATATATTTACAGCTATCCTCCCCCACCCTAAAGGAAGATTAGGAATTTAGTCTCTTGAGGGAGAGATTGAATCCAAGGGAATTTGCTAAAACTGGGCCAAGGGAGCCGAGTACTGTGCTACAGAGGGGTTAAGTGAAGTCTATATACTGAATGGTCAGACTACCCAGCCCATTCCCTCCATTTACTCCCAAAATACTAGCAGACTGGCTAACTATTCTAAGCAGGAGACTGGAAAATTCTTCTCTGGGGAAATCTTACCAGTCCATAATAAAGCCATAACGAGACTGGTAACTGATAGAGGTAAAGGGGTAGTAGGTTTTTCTCAACAGAACAGCCTAGGTAGAGGTCTACAATGAAAGTCGCCAGCCAACATGCCCCACCCTATACATACAGCTTTCTGTCAGTTTTTAGTGCCCATATTCATATATAATGGACAGCTAGCTAGCATTTAAGAAAACTCTAAAATGAAACAGAGATCAAAACAAATAGATACAAGGAACTTACAGGTAAGAGAGAAAACATAAAAGAATAAAACATAAAAAAAAAAAATCATGGATATCATCAGGATACAGTGATTTTACTAAAAAGGAACTTTTAGAGATTAAGAAAGAGTTACCAGAAGTTTAAAGTATGATAGCTAAAAGGACAAATCCAGAAAAGTAGTGAAGAATAACATTAAAGGATAAAGAAAATAATACTTAAAGAGCATTTACTATGTGCTAGGCTCTATTCTAACAGTTTTATATTTATTATCTCATTTATTTACACCCCAAAATCTTATAGGTTGTTTTCCTTGTTTTCAAATGAGAAAACTTAATTCCAGAATTTAGTTTCCCCACAGTCACAAAACTGGTTAAGTGGCAAAAACTGATATTTAAATTCAGAAGTCTAGTTCCAAAAATCCAGGCTTTTAACCACTATTATAGTAAAAAGAAAAAGCAAACAAATAGAAAATGGGAACGAGAAAAGAAAAGCAAAAGGATCGATCCAGGCAGTTCAACATCCTAAATAGTTGATCCAAAAAGAGAGAACAGAGAAAGACCTAGGAAATAATTCAAGAAATTTCCCAGAACTGAAGGATACAAGTGTCTAAAGTGAAAGGGACCACTGAGTATGCACCAATGGATAAAATAAAGACCCACACCAAGAAAAATTACCTTGAAATTTCAGAATTCTAAAAGTTACCAAGAGTTTTCAAAGAGAAAAAGAGGAAATTAAAACGGTATTGGGCTTCTCAAAAGCAATACTGAAGGCAATAGCCAATGGAGCACTATCTTTAAAGTTCTCAGGGAAAATTACCTCCAACCTAAAAAATACTTTCCCTAAACCATCAAGAAAGTGGGAGACTAAAATAAAGACATTTTCAGTCCACCATACAAGGTCTCCAAAACTTTACCTTCCATCCACCCATATACCAAGAAGCTACCAGAGGATGCTCCAGCAAATGAGTAAATAAACGAAAGATGGGTATCAGCATGCTAGTGAAGGGAGACTCCAGAAATACAGGTGTGCAACAAGCCTTGGGTGCCATCAGCATCCAGATTAGTGTGGAAAGTTAGAGTGTTCTAATAACATACAACTGACAGAATACTGATGATCTGAACATACTAAGAAGAGTTTCGGAAAAGAACTAAGGATACCATACAAAGAATAAAAAAAAGAAGGCAACAATAATTATTCACTTAATCATATCCTTCCTTTCTTCTATAAAACACCCACTTCTGACAACTTTGTTACTCTGGCAAAGTAAAAACTGAGTTCCTAAAGGTAAAGTTATCCATATACAGGTTAAAAAAAATCTACATTTTCATTTTTTTCCCAAATGGCATTACAGTAATAAAACAGAACAAGTCTTAGAAGTATGACATCTGCTGGCTGTGTGACATTAGACAAGTCATTTGTCATCTCTGAACCTTGTTTACAAAAAGTGAATTAGTAATATCTATCCCAAAGCTTTCTGTGGAGAATTAAAGAAACCTGATTGTTCCCAGCATAATGCCAAGCACATAGTAAGCACTCAGTGCATGTTTGTTAAATCTGAATCATACTGACTGAAAGAGATGGAAACAGCAACTGGCAGACAGAGACTCCCTCCTTCACATACCTTCTGTGTTGTTGTGTTTGTCGTCTGTGTTGATGGTTTGGTGAAGGTTATTTTCACAGGAGACATGTGGGGTGGTAAGGAGTTGGCAATGCTCTGCATGATGTTGCTCATCTTGGGACTGCCACTCACAGGCACAGTGATAGTCTTTGAGACTGGAACAACAGCCTTTGGAACTTCCTTTAGGACAACGGGGGAGGAGCTAGAAGAATTTGTTCGCCTTCGTTTTCTGGGTTTTTCATCTTCATCTGAACAGCTAACACCTGAAAGGCAATGACAGTTTTGTTGTACTTATCACGATCTAACCCTGCATTTTATACTTCATTTTAAGTCTTTGTGTCATCAGCTGTCCTTTACCTCTCTTCCTTTGCCTCAAGCCCAATCGAACAGTAAGTCCTATCAATCTTCCCTCAGAATTTTTCTCTGAATACCTTTCCTTCTTTCTCTAACACTTTGGCTATGTCAGGCCTTCTTATCCCCAGCCTGTATTTTAGCAACCTCCTAAAAGGTGTCCATGCTTCCAATCACTCCAATTCAATCCTCCATCCTGCTGTCAGTTACAGAATCTTATATCTAATGGTGTCAATGCTTTGCCTTAAATCCTTAAGTAGTTTTTATCTCCCTACAAGAAGAGGCACTTAAATCATTACTACATCATTCAAGGTTCTACAGCTTTCCAAGAATACAAACACATGTCTTAACTGCAGAGGTCCACTAATACGTGCTTTTTTTTGAGAAATACAGTACATTACTGTAAATGTTTCTCTTTCCTCCTATGATTTTCTTAGTAACATTTTTTCTCTAGCTTACTTTATTGTAAGAATATAGTACATAACACATATACGAAATACATACTAGTCAACTGTTTATGCTACCAGTAAGACTTCTGGCCCACTGTTGACTATTAGTTAAGTTTTTGCAGAGTCAAGTTATATGCAGATTTTTGACTGTACAGGGAGTCAGCGTCCCTTAGTCCCACATTGCTCTAGGGCCAACTATACCCTATTCTACCCAACCCTGTGCCCCCTATAATCCCGATACACTGAACTGCTCATGATTCCCCAAAGCCACCTTACCACATTCTACCCAGCCAGACTCTCCAAACGCTATTGTTCTTTGGGGAATACTACCTACCAACAATGAACTCTTCATCATCCTGCAAATCATCTCCTCAGTGACGTTCTCCCTTACTCCTCTAAGCAAAACTAATCCACATCTCCTCTGAGCTTAAGCACTTTGTATATTCTCTTCTGTATCACTTACCCCAGGGCACTGTAGCTGTTGGACTGCATATCTCCCATTATTAAGGGGCTCTCAGATGGCAATGACTAAGACTTATTGGTTTGTTTCCCTGACAAGTGCCTTGTACATATGAAGCTAGATTAATGAATGATTATATCTCCAACTAATGTTGCCTCTGTGACTTCTGAGAATAAAGCAATAAACTTCCCATTACTTTAAACAACATTTTATGTTTAAAGGTTTCATTGGGTTTGGGATTCACTCTCAATGTTTTAAAAAATGATTAAAAAGAAAAAAAAAAGTAGATTGTGAGGCGCCTGACTGGCCCAGTCAGAAGAGCATACAATGATGTCAGGGTTGTAAGTTCGAGCCCCATGTTAGGTAGAGATTACCAAAAACAAACAAACAAACAAACAAAAAAACAGATCTCTTACAGTCACCTTGGCTAAATCTACAGAAATCAGATAGAAACTTAACAGTTCCAGATTCTTAGTTTTCTTCTTTATGAACTAAAGCCTCAATTATTTTTGCAGACTTAAAAAAAAAAAAAAATCAAGTGAGAAACATAAAACCTTGCAACATACACAGGAAATCTCTACAGAGCAGACAAAAATAAGTATACAGCATGACTTATGGAATTGTTAATAAAATATAACTCCTTATACAGTTATACCTTCATTTTTAGACTTTAATTTAAATAAGGCTGACAATGACCTAAAATCATTCCTAAAACAGCAACTCTACCTCTAAAAGTTACAAAGAAATCAGGTTTATCGCCATATTGAGAAAAATGAAACTTAAATGTTAGTAATCTCCAGCTGATAACAAAAGTAAAACAATACTGACATAACAGACACTAAAACCAAAACATGACCTGGTCTTTAAACTGTTTCACAGGAGAGAATCAAGGGGTTAAAAATTGTAAATAAACTTCAAAAGCTTACAGTCAACTAGAAATATAAAAGATGGACTCTCTAGAACGTAGCACTGAATGTAACAGTTGGATGATATGCTATATAAATAATTTTTTTAAAGAATATTACAGAGATTACAATTATAGGAGTAAATGCAGAATAAATCATATAAGCACATTTCTTCAGTTTCCATTCACATTTCTATTCCATGACAACAAAAATAAGTGAATACTTGGAAGATAGCACTGTTCAAGGCAGATTTCCCACAGAGAACAAAAAAACGTCATTTCTCAACCCCAGTACTGATTAAAAAGCAATATATACCTAGTCACATGTAAAGAAAGGAATTTACAACCTTCAAAAACTAACCACTGCTAATAGCCAGTGGACCGATGATTTAATCCAGGAAGGCAGATCTAATCGGAGCCTATGTTGCAGCATTTAGCCAAGATGGCCCTGATAACACTGAGAATATCACTTACTTTTGACATAAACAGTACTTCCACTTGGCAAGACAACTACATTGGAGGCAGGACTGGCAGGTCTTGGAGACTTAACCGTTGCTATGCTGCCACTTGGAACAGGGGTAGAGGTTGGGGTTGACGTGGTACTTGTGTAGGAATAGCAAACCACTACTGAAGGAACGATAAGAAAGTTTGCTGTTAACTTTCACCAAAACTGTCCACGCATATACAGAAAAGTAATTTTTTTTACTGCAGGCCAATTTTAACATTTTCATGTGATCAGAAGTTAGAGGCCATTACGAGGTATTAGGTCCACTAAGTTAAAAGGTATTAATAACCCTTCCTGAAAATCATCACTTCACTGGGTTTTACTCAAGTATGTAATAGCTGGTCTACAGGTGACATTGCCAATGGAAAAGAGCACAATTATAAAGAAATCAAGTTTAAAACTATACTGAGAAAAATAAAAATAATTTTTCGTTCACGGCAAGAGTTAGACAAAAGGCACGTACTTGTATTCCCTTTTTAATACTGACAGCAGCACCAATGATGGAGTGATGTGTAATTTTTCCCTAACCATGGCAATTTCCAACTTGGCTACTGGGGGGAACCACAGCAAGGTTACTTTATTATAAAACAACTTATAATCACTTGCCATCCAACCAGTACAAAAATAACTCAACTAAATGACATCATATGTTAATTTCCTGAATGACAACAAGAAGGAAGAATAGTTCATAAGACACCATTTACTGATAGCATGCATTACACTAAATCCTTCTCCATATATTAGCACGAATTCTCACACCACCACATCCTCATTTTAAAGATGAGGAATCTAGGGTTCACAGAAACTTAAGTTGCTGGAGGTTACATAACTAAGAAATGGCTAACTAGGACTCAAAGGCAGATGTGACTACTAGAAATGGGGTTTTCACTTTACCAGACAGCTGGTGGATAGAAAAGGTAAAAGTAAGAAGAGAGAAAGATAACTCTCCTACAACAAAGAAAACAGGATTTTGTATATTGGTACCTGTCTCTCTCTAAATATAGCTTCCTGTAGTCAAAAACAGAGCCTGGCATGCATGAAGTGTCTCATTTTGCTCCACAATCCACTGCTAGTCAAGAAACAACAATTCCCTAAAGTAATCTGACAACTTCATTATTTTCAGGGTTACTTTCAAGCAATACCAAACTAAGCTACTAGAATCAATCCGAATACGAGCTCTCGAATTTAATATCAGTCTTGGCGATCTCAAGAGAATTCAAGTAAAGCACATACCAATTACTAGATTAAATAACAATAAAAAAGCGTTCTCCTCTGCCAGGTAATCCCTAATAGATTCAGAACACTGACCAGAACAGAGAAACACCATATACCACTGACTCCAGAAGATAAAACAGAGTTTTATTGTCTAAGTAATCAGTTAGGCATCTTTCCCCAGCAGCTAAGTGACTTCCATCCTTTTTTTTCTATGTCACCCATTAAGGCCTCTCATGCACTTCTCACAAAACTGATATCAAAAATTCTCTCCAAGAAGGCTTTTGCAATTTTCTGATTAATAGAATTCACACTTTGAATAAAAGGGAGATTTAGTTTTGGCTGAGACTAAAAACTTGGCAGTTTCTAGTTTCAGAGTAAGAGCTGCTTACTGTGTTTTTGTAACCTTCATACACTGGGATTTAAAAACAGATGAAAAACAGGATACCTTTCCTTGAAGAATCTGAGAAAAGTCATCTCTACACACAGAAGTATAGTTTTCTACTCACCTTCCTTGCTTCCGGTTTCTGCAGGCACTGGAAGAGATGCATTGTGCTGGATAGCTGCATTGGCAACAGCGTTAGCTGTTACCGTGAAGGCGGTTTGGGGAACCAACCGGGGCATCAGTGGAACCAAGCGACGACCCTCAATGGACCATTCTGAAGAGCTATTAGGTCCAGACATACTAAACAAAAAAGAAAATGCTGCTACAAGGGTTCTCAATCACTAAAAATGAATCAACTATTTTCTCAAGCAAATATAACTTTTTAAATTATAAAAACTATCCTGAGTGAATAGGAGAGACTTTATTTTAAGCAAGCAAAATCAAAATTATGAATAATTATCAGAATTCAAGGGATTTCACACACAAAGTTCTTACACATTTTATTCTAGAATCTAAATCTTATAATTAAACACAACTGAAACTATAAAAAAATTTTTATGCCTTCTAAATATTGAACTTATTTTCATTACTTTAAATCTGGCATTGCTAATGAAAACTAGTACATCTACTACTTTTAGACTTAATTTTTGTTATTCAACTAAAAAGGTAAAAGGTACTTATAATTTTTAAGATTAGATTTAATAATTGAGGAGAGAATTCACTGAATCTTTGCAAAAATGATCTAACTGCCTGCATGGCCAGAGGTTCTAAGGCTTTCAAACAAGGGAAACTGAGGCAGTAAACGAGGGAGACCAAGTATGGAGGGAGAGAAGAGGGTTGTATATATCACTGCATGTGTCACTGAAGGTGTGTTATATTAGTATCCTTCCCATAAAAAAATAAACTAGATCTGAGGTCAGTGGAAGAAACCTGCCTCTACTTTAATTTTACTTATACCACTCTTTAAGAAATATTTGAGGCCACTGAACTATCCCCCTAAGTAGACACTATTCTGTTTCTCTACTCTAAAAACTTGAGTGAGTTTTATCCCAGGAATCCAACTGAAATATGGTTGAAATATGAAAAGACAATTGTGTCACTTCTCTTGATTTGGCTTCACAAAAGGCAGCTGCATCACTTCTCCTAATGATCAGTGTGTCAAGGTTTAAAATATACCCAGAATCAGTTAATCAATCTCTTTACTAAATCAGATATATTTCTGTACATTTTCCAAACCAAACATTCTACAACCCAATCTAAGGCTTAAGACCTGAAATGTCCACTGATCCTTCATATTTAGAGAGCGTACATAAAAGCCCTTGTTAGTGGATAATGGAATGATGATGATGATGATGATGATTATGGTAGTTAATATCAACTAAGCACTTTTTTTATGTCAGGCACTATTTTAAACATTTTCTATGTATTAACTCATAATTCTCTCCATAATCCTATGAAATTGGTAATATTATTATCTCCATTTTGTGGATGGAAAAACTGAGTCACTGGAAGGTTAAATAACTTCCTAAGTTCATACACTTCTGCTGAATGGAACAAATAAATTACTTTACAACTTAAGATTTACTTTCAGTTCAGAAAGGAATTTCTAGTTGATGAATCTAGTTGGGTTACTATAAGAAATTTGCAAACTATTTAACCAGTCCTACCTAAAACGAGGGAAAGAAGAGTTTCTAAAACCCCTATTAACTCCATAAATTTGTTATCATATAATCTCCAATTTGACACTAGTTATTGAAATAGAGAATGGTATAAATAAGAGAAACAGAAACGGGCTACAGCTAACTGTCAAAGGAAAAAATTCTAAAAGCTATTTAGTGTTTTCTTGACTGACTCCTATTTTGCTATAATTTTATTAGAACATCACTAGTAAATTTGCTAGGTGATTGTTTACACACAAAGTGATGTCTACACTTACCTGGTGCATTGTTTAAGTGGTGGCAGAAATTATGGAAGATTAATAATTTGAAACACATGTATATTTGCTATTGAAAAGACAGAATTTGCAGTGCAAAAGACAGAACTGCAACTTTTTAAAAAATCTGTAAATCTTCCAAATTTCTACTCATGCAAACATGCTCAAACTTTTTTTAAGTGAGTAAAAAATTATGTTAGAATTAGATTAAGAAATTCCTATTTGCTTAGTAATGAGGGTGTAAATATGCATTAGTTGCACAAATCATCTAAACTGAATTTTACATCTTACTCAGGGGCTTCCCTGGAGCCCCTAAGTTTCAATATAAGGATCGCTTCTCTATTTAGATTAAGAATGGCAAGGGAGGGTAGAAACCTTGCTCCAGACCCTTTCCTGAAAAATCTAACATGATACTAATGAAACTACCTTGGCCCTCACATCCTTTGGTATGCAGTGCACCAGCAAAAAAAAAAAAATCTTTACCCTCACACAGAAACTCACACACAGTAGCCTATGAATGTCCAGCTTATGGGGAAGGAGTTTAAAAGAACAGTAATTCCAGATAGCCACTTTCTTTGAACGTTAGAGACAGTACTGGCAAGGGCGGGGGGACAATTAAAAACTCGGAAGCCCCTTGACATTCCAGGCTTTAATATTATAATATTCTGACATGTTTCAAACTGAATTCGAGTATCAAACTTAAAAAAATGGTCTGGTGCCAAATAATAAACACGTGTTATGCTTCCGGCCATAAGCAAGGCTTTTCTTTGATCCCAGAAACCCAGCTCCTTTTGTTTCCACCTCCTTTGTGCTCAATCTTCTCGGCTTTCTCTTCACCTTTCAACCACATTCCTTCTGGCCTAAGCTGCGATTTTGAGTGGGGGAGGGAAGGGCGAGGGGAAGGGAATGTAGTCAGCTCAGATGCATTCCCCTTGGCTCCGGTTGCTTTTTTCCGGCTCAGAGTATGAGGCCATCCTATAGATAATCTTTGGATTTAGGTTCTGTTACTACTTCTGAAGGAAAGAGGGCAGAGGAGGTATAGAGAATAAGGGAACTATGCCTTCCTTACCACTCCACACTCACCAACCCCTGGGCTCAACAAGTAAAATGCGACACCTAGTCAAACTAAAACCACAGCATAAAATATTAAAACAGGAGTACAGAAAGACCTAAGAAGCTTTTAAAATTATATGCTGAAGTAAACTCTTCAGAAAATTAAATTCATGTATTAAAGAAATCAGAAAGGAGAGAAAAAAGGAAACACAGGCAGATAAAAGCCAACTCTCAATTATCCATGCTAATAGAGAGAGGAGGGAAAGGGAGAGGTCAAACAGATTAAAGAAATCCACATATTATCCAAAAATACTTTGGTAAATACTTGTAAATTCTTCCACCAAGCCATTTCCAGGTCAACTAACAAGTAGTAAAATGACTAATTAAAATTTTCACCTCCTCTCCCTTCCCACCCTCTGACTAGAGGTACTCCCAAGCAGCAAAATGGCTAAAGGGTGGGCAGTATTAGGAGGGGGAGGAGGGGAAGAGAAGGAAAAGCAGAGGGCACGGTTAATTCGTAAATGGGAATATGTGCCCCTGAATAATTGAGAGCTTCAATTTTGAAATAATACAAGAAAAAGCCTGAAATAATAATAACCTATTTGCATACCTGTAACTTGGTCTTTCACCCAAATATAAGGATAAATTCATTCTTTAAAGGGGAAAAAAGGAAAAGGAGACTAAATAAATGTTATCCTTTAAGTATGAAACTGATGCATCAACTTACAACTGATTGCCCCACAACATTTTTCCAATGCTTTTAAGGTACTAACTGTCTCTAAGTGCCTCTGAATGTTAAGCTATTGTTTACTACTTTATTATCTAGCACATAAGTTTCCTATTACCATCTCAAATTAGAATCTAGGTTCAGTCATTATTTTTAGAGCAACCCAATTCAAAAGTTTAGAGCAAATTAAAGAAGGAACACATTAATATTTGAACGGTTCAACCATGTTGGCCTGACAACTAAATACTTAACGTCTCTAGTGGAAAAATTCCAAACTTCTACAGTGCATACATACCCACCACTGAAAAACCTCAAAATCCAGATACCGAAGCTTGCAAACTACACAGTTAAAAAAAGGTAGCACCCCATTTTATAAGTTAATAAAAATGAGGAACAACGAAGCACAACATGAAACTAATGAATCTGCGGCGTCAATTCAAATACTGCCAACTGGTTTAAACACACTATTGATCACATTATGGAAATGCACTGAATGTTTTCCTTTAGTTTTATTTCACATTAAAAGATAAAAATAAAAAAATAAATGAATTATACTGTAATAGATCTTATTTTTAATGAAATGTTCCTGTCATCTTGCATTAACATTTAAGGATAATTTGTTTCTTTCTATTCTTCAGGAGGCACTATCTCCATACAATGTTTGATCCTTGCCCATAGTCCTCCTCCCCCCTCCACGCCCCCATCTGTCACATAGTTACAATGATCTGAAAATAATTTGATAAGAATCCTTCATAATTTTATTTTGTTGGCTTTTTTAAAGTTAAATTAAGATATATTCATATTTCTTAAAAGTAGAACATATATTCTTACAATCTTTTTTCTGACTCTCAAAATACATGAAATATTAGTTATAAAGAAAATATATAATGCCTATTTATAAAGCAATATGTATACCACATACCATTACAAAGAACCTCTAAGGGGCTGTCAAATGAGGGGAGCATACTACTTTATTACTGAACTTTGCTTTAAGTAAGCAAATCATCTGCTAAACTGTGGTGGCCTTTTATCCAGAGATCACATTATACCTGGATTTGACCTGAGTACTTAAAGCTTGCCTAACCAAATGCAAAAACATAACCAACTGAATAAACAGTTAACACCTCTATGGTCAGGATCCCTGAGTAAAGAAATATTACTATTAAGATAAAAGACTCAGGAATCTGCTATACAACAGGAAGACTGTTTCAAAACTATGTTATACTACGTCATAAAAATCAGGGGTTGTATGACTAATGGCTTACTTATGTGCAATTGTTGTTAACCGTTCATCGTTTACTGCTCTCCGAACTTCAGCACGGTGGCGCTCTGTTGAGATGCTATGAAAAAAAATAGCCATTATAGAACTCTGCCAAGCAGGCAGCTCTTTTCTATATTTTTATTAATGTTTAAGTCAACATTTTGTTTGGGGAAGAGGGGAGACAAGATTGATTTGTGAAAAGATATAGACGGGGCCTAATATATATGTTCAGATGCTTTAATTAAAATCATAGGAAAGGGTTCAAAGTGATTCTGTGTAACTGCAGAAAGAATTAGTTGCAAATTAGAAATCACAGGAAGACAAATCAGCTTGGTAGCAAGTCATTACTTCCAAAACGCAGCAGAAATGTCAGACCATGTTCAAGATTAGCAGAGGTTCCTGTTATCTAAATATGCAAACAGCCACTGAATGACCCGTAATTGTGGTTACTGAGAAGATTTTGGCACTTAGAAGCAAGTCTTCTAAAGTTCTTTCTAAAGCTTAAGAATCTATAATTTTATGTTCAGTGAATATAATAAAGAAACAAGTGGCAAGATAATCTGTTTCCTGTGGGTATATGCTATGAAATTTGACACCAAGACATTACTCCCCTACTCAACACTTCAGCTGTATGTCTTCTACATTACACTGTTACCATTCCAGTCAAAATGTGCAGATATTGATCCTGACTAAATACCGTAAAGTTAATACTAAACAAGTGAAAAAGGCTACACCCATTCCATTAGTAAATATTCAGTAAAATGAATAACCACTCTTCAAATTGTAATCTTTACTGCTTAAGCAAAATCTGTATCACGGACTAAAATATAAAATAGGTAAGGGGCTGGAAAGCAGATTTATGGGGAACCACAAAGAACAAACAAAAAATATATAAACTATTAAATATGAAGACAATAAGATTAAGGATTTGACTTAATAATATCCCTATATCTTATAATATCAATATCTATATCAACCATAGATAGGAAAAGACTTCTCTATTTTCATTTAAAAAAAGAACAGGACAAAATGGTTTTAAATGTAGAAAGGAAACTTCAGTTAAAACAGTATTTTTGGAGAAAGCTCAAGATGTCAGAATGGATCAAGACAGGTATCAAAGAATTCCACTCACTAGAATTTTTTAATGGATTCAAGTGCCACTCTAGCCGGAAAATGGGGGTATAAACTATCTGCAGGGCTATGACTATATCAAAACCACCCATTTCTATAAATTAAGATACTAGCTTCCTAGTATGTCCTTCTTCCCTCCCAACAAATGACACTGGGCCACTCCAAGTCTTCAGATCTTGTTGCTACCAGGTCTTCTTCCCTTCACCCATGTCAAAAATACCTCCCCTTCCCAGGTGACCAAAACCTAAAATAACCTGCCTTAAACTCTTTCTGGTTACAGAATAAATGATAAATTACATAACTTTCTGTAAAAAGCACACAACTAGGATGAACTAAGTACCAACAACCTGAACAACTCTGTCTTCAACTTGAGAATGAAAAGTATTAAAACTCCTCAAAATGAAATTTCTAGAGTCACATCTCAGAAACTTTTATGATAATTTACCTAAGAACTTTTGAGAGTTCTCCAAGAAGATCTTTCTTTTCCTTGGTGAGATCCCCCTGTGCCCGAAGTGCACTGATAACTCCAGCATATGCCTCCAATTCTAGAAGAAGAAAATTATTTTATCAAGATAGGCCTTCAATATTTTAATACTGTGGCTACATATAGTGAAACTTCAGGGCAAAAAAAACTAGAAATCAATAAAAAAAAATCAACACACAAAATTTTTAAAGTTCCTCTCAAAAATGTTATCTAAGATCACTGATTAAAATGTGGTTTTTATAATTGTATATCTTTTTTTTATTGTGTCACAGAAGTCATGTGTACAAAATGTTTAGGTAGAAAAATCTAAATGTAAGTATTTTATCTCACACATTATCACTGAAGAACATGTAATTCTGATGCTACCAACAATTGGGAACAGGCAAAAGTGATACAAGGCTGATAAGAGAAATGTTTAGCTTTACTGACAGGTTACCTACAATGACCAATCCTTGAAATAATTTCTTAGTCCTGCCTAGAATTCAAACTACATTCTACCTCCCTCCTGGGGTTGAGAATACCATGAGTACTGCACAGTAGAAAACTCCTAGAACAAGAGTCAAATGACCAGATTCTGGCTCCAGCACTCCCACTTACTAGTTGTGTGACCTTGGGCAAATTCTTTCTCACTCTTGAACTTCAACTGCTTTATCTAGAAGAGACATTGAAGGTATCTTCCAGATCTAAGATCCTCTGCATCTTCCATTGAAATGACTAAGACCGGTTAGGAAACATGAGTTGCTCTTATAGCAACCAGCATATAATATACTGAACCCTAATGCCAGATAGTTTCATTTCACTATCTTTCCACAGCAACAACCATTATGAAATGAAACTGCCAGTCTCCAGTACTGGTTAAAATATAAAAGCAAAAAGTCCTCACTGGCTTCCAATGAACCACGCCTATCTCCCAGCACACTCCTTGGGAACTATACTACTTTTGAATACTCCCTTCCCACACTGACTCTGAGCTTGGCATGTGACTTGCCCTGGACAGTGGAACATCAGCATACATAATGCAAACATTATGTATGAAGCTCACTAACATTTGCCTGCAGGGCCTCGCTCTCTCTCTCTCTCTCTCGAGATCTCTCTTGAGATAACCAAGCTGCGAAGAAGACCAGGATAAAGGCCACATGGAGAGAGGCCCAGCCATCTGAGCTAAGCCCAGCAAACCAGCTAACATACCAGCTGAATACGCCACATGAGAGAGCTTGGGCAAAACCAGCAACCACAGAATCAAAAGAAATAATAAAATAGTCATTTTATGCCACTAACACTATGAGACAGGTAAATCTAAGCAAACTAGAATGATGGAAATAAGTGTCCAAACTACAAATTATCTTCTTAGTCAATTCAAGCTGCTACTAGTATTTGGTATTTCCCAAGGCCTGACGCACAAATAATGAAGGTATACATATGTGCATCCTAGGTACTGCACCAATAATAAACAAGTAGCCTTGTTTAGTTCATGTTATTCACAGTTCTGAGAGCCAAAAAAGAGTGAGCTGACTATATTAAATAGAAATGTCAATCCATGGGGTGTCTGGGTGGCTCAGTCAGTTGGGTGTCTGCCTTTAGCTCAGGCTGTGATCCCAGGTTCCTGGGATTGAGGCCCCACATCAGGTTCCCTGAGCAATAGGGAGTCTTGCTTATCCCTCTCCCCCTGCTCCTCCTCCCTGCTGGAAAGAAATGTCTGATCCAACTGAATTACCCCATGTGTAAACATTTTGCATATTCAATCTATGCTGAATACTATGTAGATGTTTCATGGGGTATCTCTGAAGAACAAAGCTTTCCTGCTCTTAGAATAGTGAAGGAAATACTTAGTACCAAGAAACATTTATTTCAGCTTTTATCAGGACCCAAAGTAAAGTTCAGAAAGACACGGGGAATAACCAACTAAGAAATCACTATACTAAAAGTTTACACCTCATTTATGGAATATTTTACTCAACAGATCAGTACTGAGTCCCTTTATATATACCAGATAGTATGCTAAATCCTGCCTTCAAGGAGTTAACTCTAGAATAAAGCTACAGTGAAACAAGTCATCAGACAATGATGATACAGTTTATAATACAGTGGTAAAAGCAAAGAGAAGAAACACATCACCCAGTCTAGAAACATAAGCTTTCATCAGAAAGAGAAATGTGCTCTAAGCAATTAGAAAAAAAATCCAAATATGCAGAAGGAATACATTAAAAGAGCAAATAATGTCTCATACAGACATCAAACTTCCAGGAACAGTCAGTGAATATTTTTGGAGTTCTACTTTAGTATAAGTAAAAACATGCCTGTATTTGGATAGTCACTAACTCAAACCAAATTTAACTGCACCTTACTACTACTACAATGTACCATGGAGAATATCTACATGAATAAAACAAAGTCCTATCCTCAAGGTAATTAAAATCAAAGAAGAGACCTGTACATAGGAATAAAGAAGGACAAAAATGGAAAAGTAGTTTGGGGCCAGACTAAGCCTCTAGTTCCAGGCTAAAAAGCTTTTATTGGATAGGACCCAGTAGTTGATTGAATGTGGAAGGAATAGCAGAAGGAAAGGAAACAGATTTTGTAGTCTGCAAGATATTTAGGTGAAGGGCAATACCATAAAAAGAAATGGAGAGGTCAGAGAGAGGAAATGGTATGAGAAAAAGAAAAAGAAGTTCACTTTTGGCCTATGCAATTTATGGTGATCAAGATACTACTTCAAAAAGAGTGAAATTAATCAAAGAAATGCAGCAAAGGTTTTTGACATTTCAAGTCTCGTTCCAAGTCTAACTAAAAAGTCATGGACAAAAGTTAAGAAGTGGTAACCTCACACTAAACCAGAACTCAGACCACAGTTATAGTCACACAATCTGAGGCACTTCCTCCATTCTCCAGAAATTCACTCATTGTAAAGAACTTTTACTGACTTCCCAACTTCCTTGACATAGGATTTCCATTTTGATGGGTATCCTCAGATCCTGACAAATATCAAACTTAATTGAATTTCTCATCATTTTGGTGCCATTCTATTGTAGTATTAACTCTAATGGCACATAAATATAAGAGATACATGCAAACACCATGGAAAACAAAAAGATTTGCCAAATCACTCTATAAAGTACTCAACGTTCCATTTAAACAAATCAGCCATTCAATTATACTACAATCCATGAAGCCCCATGTTGGTGTTATAACTGAGGAATGGTTTTTTTAAAATAAGGCATGGGAAAGGCAGGATAGAAAGAGGGAAGCATTTATCTATCACTGGCATGTTCAGTATAGAATTAAAAAAATTCTTGGGGCGCCTGGTGGCTCAGTTATTAAGCATCTGCCTTCGGCTCAGGTCATGTGGGATCGAGCCCCAAACGGGCTCCCCACTCAGCAGGGGGCCTGCTTCTCCCTCTCCCACTTCCCCTGCTGTGTTCCCTCTCTCCCTGTATCTCTTTGTCAAATAAACAAATAAAATCTTAAAAAAAAAATTCTCGATCTCAGTGTTTTTTATCTAAGTAAAATTTAAATGTTTAGCATTTTATGTTAAATGATTTATAACTACTTTTAAAAGAGCAAACTTAATTGTTACAATATTTTAAGTTAATTCTTAAATACAGTACTTTCTCTAAACTTTGGACCGAGAGCTAGTGTTTGAAGGCAATTCAAAAGTTTCATTGTTATGATAATGAGCCAACGGGTGGGGAGGAAGTCTTTCTGCAAATCACTATCAAGACTCACCTCCCAAAGGGAAGGGTCATTGACGATGACATTACCCTGTAAGAAGGCTGTTTTCTTTTGTATAGAAACAGCTCTCCCGCAATATTACCCACACAGCCCTGGCTAAAGTTAAGGATAAATTTAGACTTAAAGGTTACCATTTTTATATTTAAACATAATCTCTTGACTCAAGGCCCCAAAAGCCCAGAAACTCTAATCCAATCTACTGTAGTTGGGATCTGTTCATCTGCAATTATTTTAGCTATGTATTAAATAGCAGTCCAACTCTATAAACGGTAGATAGCAAGCTATAGCAATTGCATGCAAGTGTGTAGAAAATCATCCTCGAATTAGTACTAAAAGTTTGGATATAAGGTTAAAGAAAAAAAATGATAATGGATGATTGCCCAAAAAACCTCTCTAAACATGCTAAAATACAATGCTAAGAAATAGTTTAAAATAAGAGAAATCCTCCCAGTGGCCTGATGGGAAATAAAAAAGATAATGTTACTAGCAGACAGCACCAGGGCAGCTATGATCCAGATTTATACAAAAGAATTCCCAACAAAGATTTCCTCTGAAGATTCTCCTGCAAATAATGTCTGAAAGCAACTGCTCTAAAACACTATACCCTCAGATGTCAAGCACTATGGTAGGACCCTTTTATATACAATGAATCCACATAACAAACTTATGAGGCAGATATTATGCTTTTTTTTACAAAAGTGTCAACACATTTAAGGAGATTAAATAAACTGTCCTTGATCCTGTGGGTCATTAGTGACAAGACCAAGACCCCAGGTCCCTCTGAATTCAAGGCTCACACTTTCCCCTTTAAAATTATAAACAAATAATTCATATCCACTTCCAAAACATTTAATGTTCTTTTTCAAATTATTTTTTCATTTACTGAGCACTCACTATGTGCTAGCCTGAGACTATAGTGGTAAAGAAGACACAAGGTCATTCTTGGACCTTATAGTCTAAGGCATTCGTTCTCAAACAAGGATCTTTGAGCCACAGAATATAAAAAATGATTTGAGTAACTTTCTCAATTTTCTCAAGAATAGTACAAAACTATTACCATTCTAAATGCATAAAAAGAAGTTAGTTCATACAATGTTACATACAATGGATTAGGCTTGGCATTAGTGCTTAATTCTCTCCCTAAATGCTAGTTGAGAAAGGCTCCTCTCAAGGAAAAGCAGCTCAAAATAATGAATTATAAACATAAAGCGTGTTTTATTACTGACTGTAAACATAATTTAGGAAAGTCAGCATAGTTAACATTTACTTAGAATTCAGAAACAGTTTATAATTCACACATACATTCATGAAGATTAAAATAATGCTAAAGTAAGACTGGAATCATATTCCCCGGGTTACAGTCCTGACTCCCTGACTTATATTATCAGCATCACGTTGAATTCTAAACTTCAGTTTTGTCATCTGTAATATGGAAACACACACATACACAAATACCCACCTTTCCCATTTGAGTGAGGATTAAATAAGATATTGAATGTAAAGAACTCCGAATAGCCCAGCACCCCTCAAGAACTCTGAGCTACTATTTTTATTATTACGGTCCATGCATCTACTAAGTAAAAAAAGCACTATGCTAGGCAGTGGGGAAATAACAATGACAAGATGAAAAGTGCACCTCTAAAGAATTTCTAATGCAGCATGAGATGACATCCAGGCAAACAGCCATGACAAAGACAGAAAGGGGAAAGTATCATAGAAAGGTATAAACATCAAAAACAAAAATCGTACCCAATTTTCTAAGAATCCTTTTGCATTCATCCCTGCTGAGATCCAAAAGGGTTGGCCACACAACAGGCATTGCTGCTTCTTTTTGGTAGCCCCAAAGAGCTTGTCTTCCCTACCAAAACAAATGAAACAAAAATCAAATTACCGAAGTACATTCAAAGGCCACTTACCTGGAGATCCACACACTAAGAAGTAAAACCAGTAAGAACATCTCACAATCCTATTTCACCACCACACTTTTCAACTTCTGATAAATGAAGAACTAAACAACCATTCTGCAGCTTATTATTCCAGCATAGGGCAGTGGAAAGAGCACAGGCTTTAGGGTCAGACATCTCTAGTTTCTAGTTCCAGCTTTCAACTCACTGGCTGAGTGATCCTGGTAAAGTGGACTATCTGAACAAAAGTTTTGCACATCTGTAAAACAGAAGTACTATCATCCAATCTGTTTAAGGATTAGAGAACAATATGTTAAGTTCTTATGATAGTGGCTGGCCCGTTGTTTAATAAATAGGTGCTACTACCCGTGTAACCTTGCCCAAGTTACCTGATTTGTGTCTGGTTTCTCACTTGCGAGTTACAAGAGATAAAAACATATACCTCCTAGCACGTTACATGGGCTAATGGAACTTAACTAAAAACTTTCTTCTCAAGTCTTAACAATGAGCGATGAATTTACACTCTGTAGTCATTAAAGAATCATTTACCAAAAGTTTAGATGTCAGGAACTTATTTCATACTGGGAATTGCCTGGTCTAGAAGATAAAAAGACAACAGCGCTGGGCGCTTGCACAATACCTGCTTAGCACACGGTAGACCCAGTGTAAATATTTGAGTAGATGAATGAAGATAGAGAAGAGTGGGTAAAATGAATGAGTAAGTGAGTGAGTGAGTGAATGAGCCAGCTCAATGTCTAGTCGAGGAGTCAGGCACCGAACCGTAATAACTGCTACATCCCGTTCCAGGCACTGGGACTCCTAACTCCAGCTCTGCGCCCGGAGTTGATCCCCCCCTCCTCCGACTTCCCATAGTCCTTTCAGCTACAAACCAAGCCAGAGCAAGGAGAACCGGACTGCGCGCCCCAGCCGGGAGGATGACATAAAGAAAAGGGGTGGGGAGGAGGAAGAAGGGGCAGAGCCAAAGGAATCCGCTCCCTCCACAGGCCAGTCCCCGCCCCCCGACAGGATCTTGGAGGCGGCCGGCGACCGCCCGAATCAAGCACCACGTCACGGCATCCCGACGCGTCCCCGCCAGCGCACCCCACCGCGGGGCCGCAGCGCACTGGAAATCTGGGCAGCAGTAGCGGGAGCCCGCTCCGGAGCCGGGATCTCGAGTAATCCTTCCCCCACTCAAGTGTCAAGGAGGCGAGCCCGCCCCGCCCCCTCCCCAAACACGCACTCTCTCGCAGCACCACAACAAGAGCAGCCCGCCCACCCTCCTCACCGGTGCCGCTCAGCGCCAACCCCAATGTCAATCCCACTACCCAAACCCTTCAGGACCAGTAGCCGGTGTCAGGGGCCCCGGCCGGCATCAGCACCTCGTTCGCTCCCTCAGCGGAGAGGACAACGGAGAGAGTAGGCGCGCGGACAGCCAGACGGACGACCGAGACTCACCGGGAGGCTCCCAGAGTTGGACCCCGAGGATCCCAGCACCAGGCCTGCCAAAGTCCCCCTCAGCCCACCTCGGGGAGCCCCACGATCCCGTTAGGAGACAACGGAGGATGGGGCTGGGCGCCCCAAGCCGGGGACCAAATGGCTGGCCCGGGGCTCCTCCAGCCTGGCTAACCTGCCAGCTCTTCCCAGCACCCTATCTGAGAGTCACCCACCTGCCCGGCCTTTCGGGGCTCATCTAAAAGGCTCCTCCGCCAAGACTAGGGAACACCAGGAATTGGGTTTGTTTGCGGTGCCTCAGAAGGGGCAAGATGGCGACAGGCATCAGGGCGCAAGCGCAGCCGCGCGCTGCCAGTCGGGAGGTGTAGTTCGCCTTTCCCGCCTTTCGGAGAACAGACTCCAGAAGGCCTCCGTTCTCCCAGTCCCTCTTTTCCTCCGCGTTTTGAAAGGAAAGAGGAGACATCGCGGGAGGTTCTGGGAATTGTGGTCCGAAACCAAGCTCCCTTCTCTTTCGCTCTCTGTATGCTGTCGTAGGCGCAAGGAAGGCCGGGATTGTAGTTTCCTTGGCTTCTCCTCCATACCCTCCTCTCGGGCTTCGCGCGCCTCTCCTCCGCCTGCTGTCTCCCAACCAATCAACTGCGTTCTTTGCTACGTGTGGCGTCACACGTAGAGGCCAAAATGGCGTCGGTAGCTGGAGCCGAGGGTTTACCGCGACCTTTACTCTAGGCGAGGTTAGGGACCGTAGGAAAGAAGCTTTGTCCCTGAACCGCCGTTCAGGATTAGTATCGGATTCCTCAGAGTCATGGGAGCAATTACCAGCGGCCTCCAGCCCCCACCAGACGCAACTCAAGGAGAGAAGCCACGCTACAGGAACCGACATAGCGGACGCCTCAATTGCCCAAACCCAGTTTGGGGGTTGCGGAGTTGCCAGTGGATAAGGGGAACCCGAGCGTTCTCCACTTCGGGTTTCTCCACGTATGAAGTGGGAATGATAGTGATATCTCGTGCTTTAGCTGTCAAAGGGAAGAAGGAGAAGGTATTTATTAGAGGCCCTACGGCGTGGTAGGTTCACCCTTCTAGCCTTTGTTCTAATTTAATCACAGAACAATTGTGCGAAGAAGGTATTGTTGACCCTATTTTACGTATGAGATAAGGGACCCAGTCTGTAGTTTCTCGTGGCCATAAAATCGAAGCCAGTGCTTGGTATTGTAGAAGATTCAATCCCAAGTTTTGTGATTGTTCTTCCTCTTAAATTTTGTACTTTTGGGAATGTAGGATCTGGTTAAAATGCCCAAGTCAAATGGGGTTCTTAATACGCTTTCTGATATTAACAGTTTTCGTGTAAAATGGGGTTAATCGTACCCTATGGGGATGTTGGGGATCCAGCCCCACATCAGGCTCTCTGCTCAGCAGGGAGCCTGCTTCCTTCTCTCTCATTGCCTGCTGCTCTGCCTACTTGTTATCTCTCTGTCAAATAAATAAATAAAATCTTTTTAAAAAGAAAAAGAAACTTCAGTTTTGTAGTTTAACATACATTCTTTGAGCCTCACAGCATCTCAGGTAGGTATAATTTAGATCCTCCTTCCACCCCCACAAACACGTTTGAATGAGGAAAACACAGAAATTGAAGAACTCACCCAATTTCACAAAGCTAAGAATTAAAGTGAAGTGGACTTTATAATCCCACGTTTTCTGACTTCCAAGTGTCTTCCTCTACATCAGATGTCAAGGTGACAGTAATGGAGTAGAAATGGAAAGACAAGCTGCTTATAAAACTGACTCTGACCATAATACATAGCATATAAGTCAAGAATTATAGCTTACTCTTGTGCTTACCTGGTGCCAAGTATTATTATAAGCATCTCACATATAAATCATTTAGTCCTTAAAATTTTACGAGGTAGAAACTACTATTTCTAATTACAAATGAGAAAACCGAGGCACAGGAAGGGCATTAAATAACTTGCCTAGAGTCATACATTTGTAAGTAAATAGTAAAGCCAGGACTTAAGCAGCTTGACTCCAGCGTCTGCTCTAGACCAGTGGTTCTCGAACTTGCATGTTCAGTAGGAACTACCTGAGGATCCTGTCAAAAATTCCCATTTGACTGAGTTATGTCTAGGTAAGGCCTAAGATTCTATGTTTCTTCCTTAAAAAAAAAAAAAAGATGTTATTTATTTATTTGAGAGAGAGAGACAGAGTGAGAAAGAGCATAAGAGGGGAGAAGGTCAGAGGGAGAAGCAGACTCCCCGTGATGCTGAGAGCCTGATACGGGACTCAATCCCAGGACTCCGGGATCATTACCTGAGCCGAAGGCAGCCGCTTAACCAACTGAGCCACCCAAGCATCCTAAGATTCTATATTTCTTTTTTCTTTTTTAAAAGATTTTATTTATTTGACAGAGATCACAAGTAGGCAAAGAGGCAGGCAGAGAGAGAGGAAGGGAAGCAGACCCCTGCTGAGCAGAGAGCCTGATTCGGGCTCCATCCCAGGATCCTGGGATCATGACCTGAGCCAAGGCAGAGGCTTTAACCCACTGAGCCATCCAGGCACCCCAGATTCTGTATTTCTAACAAAGTCCCAATCTATCATATATCCTTCCTTTCCTCCTAGCTACATATGTTTGTACTTTGTGGCCAGAATCTGCCTTCCCCATTCTGCCTGTGATTGCTCCATGTTCCCAAATATTCCCAGTATTAACTTCTCTTCCTTAAGGTTCAGGGTCAAACTTTACCCTCAAGAAACGTTTCCTGGGGTACCTGGGTGGCTCAGTGGGTTAAAGCCTCTGCCTTCAGCTCAGGTCATGATTCTGGGGTCCTGGAATCATCAAGTCCCCCATCGGGCTCTCTGCTCAGAAGGGAGCCTGCTTCCTCCTCTCTCTGCCTGCTTCTCTGCCTACTTGTGATCTCCGTCTGTCAAATAAATAAAATCTGAAAAAAAAAAAAAAAAAAAAAACAAAAAACTTATCCTGCCCCTGACTTTCCCTCTAGGATAAGACAGGCATTTCTGCCTTTGCTTCTATACACCTTATTACTGAATCCAGAACATTTAAGTTACGGTCATTTGTTCAGAAATCTTCCTGACAATGAGCTCTTTAAGGAGAGGTCTTTGCACTCCAGTGTCTAGCATATAAAAATAATAGCTAATACTTATCCAGGGCTTTCTCTGTTTCAGATGCTGCTTATTACATTAACATGTTTAATCTCCACAATAGCCTTATGAGATATACTGTTCCCATTTTATGGGTGAAGAAACTGAGGCACAGATAGATTAGGTAGTTTACCTAGGGTAACAAGCCAGTAAGTAGCAGAGCGATGATTCTAAGTTAAGTCATATTAAGTCCAGGAAACATGAGCTGTCCTCCATTTCCAAAAAAGAAAAGCCGAGACTTACTGTCCCACTAGACATGAGTATAACTAACTCTTGGCTGGGAAAATGTGTTGGAGTACAGTATATGCCTCAAACTTTATTCCTCTATTGACCAACCAGGTTAAGCAGGTTTCTTCAAACAGACTTTTTCAAGAAGCCTACCATCCACTACTCTAATTTTGTAGTGCTATATTGGAGAAGTTGGATTTCACAATTATCATGAAAATATCTGTTAAGTTCCCTGTAATATTATACAGGTGGGCAAGTCAAAATGGATAAGACTTTAGAGATTCACTTTCAGAGTGAAAAAAAAAAAAAGGTCCAAAAACATCAAATGAGTTAACCAGAGTCATACAGGAACTTCGTGGCAGGACTGGGACTGGAAACCAACCCTTTTGACTTAAAGGCTGCTTGTCGTTCCATTATACCACACTGCCTTTAGATTCTTACCTTCGGAAAGATTTTTTACCACAATGGTATAAGCCAAGGTGCATACTAAAAATGAGAAGAGCAAAAGCAAAAAATTAAATTAGTAATATTTAAAAATAACTTGGCAATAAACTATATTAGTAGCATATAAAATAATAGATCAAGATAAGTAGATTTGGGAGACAGAAAAGAAAAAGTAAGGGGAGATAGCAATTATATACCTGGCTTTCTTGGAAGATCAGAAATGCTCTGAACAATCTAGAACAGCTTCAGAAACGAGGTGAAAGATCTGGACCCTGCCTTGTCAACTGCCTTAACTCCTCTCCCTTACTGCCCACTAAACTCTGTAGTCTACTTCACAAATAGCTGGCCCCAGTGTTTCAGTGAGCTGATAATGAGGCCTCATCACACCACCTGTGTGGAGTAGACCTTTTTCCCAACCCTTTTTCTCTGAAAGAACCTCTCTACACTCCTTCCCCAGTACATCCACCATACCGCCACTGCTGTCAGGGTGACCTTTCTAAAATTCAAAGCTCACCATGTCAGCCACCTGTGTAAAACTTTCCAGTGGTTTCCAGTTGCCAACAGAATAAAGTTGCAGCTTTTTTATAAGCAAACTCACGTCAGTGCAAAGAAATTTCCTTGTATATCTAACATTTTCCTAGAGCATTGCCATCACTTCTTTATCTTGCCTAAAATCTGATATTGTCCTAAAGTTAACTGCTGCTCTTAAAGCCCTTTCAAATGGAATTCTGTCCCCATCTTTAGTATTTTGAACCAGAAGTAAAGGCTGGCATTCTCCTCACCTTGTAACCACATTTCTAGATCAGCTACTCCTGCACTGAGGCTTTTTTCTATCAAGCCATGCAAACTCCATTCCATCTACATTCCATCTCTCAAGGGATGATGGGATCTTATAAACTTTTTAACAGTCTGCTATCATTAGTTTATGTTGCCCCGTTGTCCCCTCTGCCCTTGTCCTCACCAGAAAGATTTAAAAAAAAAAAAAAACACTAAAAACCTTCCCCCAGCACTGCCTTTCTAACACCCATTTCTTTGATCATATCCTGTACTTTGTTCTCCAGAACTCTTCCACCTCTGAAATCAGTAACCAAGGGATTCTACCTTCTAAACAAGACCTTCTTTTGTCCAGACTTTTTATATTCCTTTACCCTCACCAAACCTGTTCTTCAACTTCAGTGAAATCTGTCGTTTACAGTCTACCGGTTCCAAGTTTGTTCCCCTCCTCCAACTTTACTTTATTCCCTTTCTAAGCTGGGACCTGGGATCATGTGTTTCAAACTTGGTCTCATTGGTACTTTCAACTTCATTCAGCCGTTTCTGTCCTTCCATATAAACCCTAAAACAGCCCTCCTTCAATCAGTTCTTTCCTTACATCCCTTCCCATGTTGATGTAGCTATTAGTTAACTATTGGGGCATAATAAGTAATCCCAAACCTTGATTTAAAACAAAAATAAGATTTTGGTTTTCAGTTTTTTGTTTTTTTTTTTTTTCATTTCATACGGGTTTCGC